CTTCGCATGCCAATAGGTCTTCCGTGTTCTGCAAACTATTCATTTGCAATGGACCTGGTAGTGGAGAAACGGTCCCTTAAGGCCAATAATCTTAGGCGGCGATCTTCACGGTCTGTTGTTCTACGGCGGCGTCCAGTGCCCCTTGCTCTTTGCGTACGGCCTTCTCGAAGCCATGCCTGACAACACCTAACCACAGTTTCTACACTTCTTTGCACTCTAACTGCAATTGCCCGAAAAGAAGGTCCAGCTTCCCGAAGTCCCACTATACGGCCCCTATCAAACTCACTAAGTTGACGAAATCGTACAGGTCTCCGTACTCTAGGCATCGTAACCGATCGTAAAGGATGTCAAGAACCAAAATCCGCCAACGTTGATTCTTTACTCCGGCTGAAATATTCATTTTTAGAGCGTTAGCGAATTAAAAAAACAGTCTAAAAACCGGAATGTCCAACTGATAAGGCTGAAAATTTGTTCACTTGTTATTTACAGTAAGATAAATACATTCACCAACTTTTATTAAAATAAAACCATTTAAACTGGGTGTTCGGATTTATATGTTACTTAGTATAAATGTATGACTTTTTTATATTTAGTCAGCTTATACAACATCGTACTGTATTACAATTCAGCCGTTGAATCGTATTTCAGATAATAAGATTATTGTATCGTAATGTGGTGATATATATTCAAATCTGTTGATAACAACAACAGTTTTGTAGAACCTTGTGTTCCAAGTTAGCAGCTAAATGTGTGTAATAAAACAGATGAACCGTAGTCCATGTTGAGTCTTCAAAGGCTCCTAGGCTTAATATAACAGCTACTAATTTTACTAGTTATCTGATAGCCTAATGTTAAGTTGCTGTCTATTAGTATCCTCAAATTTTTGACATTGTCCACTATATCAATAACCGACCCATTCAGTGTTTTATCTTGGGATTAAATTGTGAGAGCACGGTTCACCATCACTTTACTACCGACAACAATTGCCACAGATTTGCTTGGATTTAGACGTAAACCAACTTGAACGGGCCACTCACAGCGTATAGATTTTCATTCACCTCACTCACTAGTCTGTAAATGTCACCCGCTGCCCAGATTTGTAGACTTGTGTGTCGTCTGCATAATTGAGCGCTTTCCATTGCTATTTGAGGATGCTGGTAAGATCTGTTGTGTATGTACGGAACAGTAAAGGTCCAATTATGCTGCCTTGAGAAACCCCTGATTCAACTGTCCTTTCACTAGATAGTTCTCCATTTAGCTTAACTATTTGCTTCCTATTTGCTAAGTAACTTGTAATCCACTGACCATAGTGAGGCAACTTGGCTACCAAAAGATTATGGTCAACCAAGTCGAACGCTATACTAAGATCGAGTAATATCGGTAATGTCACTTCTGACCCATCGACGGATGGGTTCTATGTTCATCAACGCTGAAGTGGTACTATGATGCTTTCTGACTGAACTTCAGGCAGAGTATTATTGATGTTTATATAGCATAGCAATTCTGCTTCAACAATTTTTTCAATAAGCTTGAACATAGTTGGAACTATATTTATTGCTTGAATGTCATCGAGTTGTGTGGCTATAGGCACTTTGGCTAACGGTAGAACAATCGAGCGTTTCCATAGGTTCGGCATGATTGACGAGTTGAAAGAAGTATTGATTATATGGCATACAGCGTGCCTGATGTAGGGAAGCTCATCTCTAACATGGACAAGTTGCTCAGCAGATACCTCCCTAAACCTATTCATAACTGTGCTATGGCATTCGTTACTTAGAAAATAAGTTATTGTATCTGATAAAGTAGTCATTAATGCTATTAGGATCACATATTGATTTACTAATCTCAAATCTTCGCCTGGTATGAACATTCAGATTAGAAGGACATTGCCACAATTTTGCCGAGAAGTTCCTATATAACCTGGTTTTGTATTGGATGAAAGCTTTCTTTTCATTCTTCTGTGGCTTGTGATACGAAGTTTCTCAAATTTTTGTAGTACTCTAGATGAACTGAATTTCTGCTCCAGAGTATCTGCGACAGGATTTCCTCTTCAACCGAATCATTGCTTTGATTGTGTGTGTTACATAGGGTTTGTAGTTCTTCTTCAAGACAACTGTTTTTAGTGGAGCATGTCTGTTATATAGCTGAATTATGGCAACATTCAGCAATTTTAGTTGCTCATTCACATTACTGAAACAGTTGACGTCATTCCAGTTAAGATTAGCAGCATCTTGTAGTAGGTCATCCACACTGATAGTAAATAAACATCTGTATGTTATGATTTTTGAGGCAACTTTAGGTAGCGGAAGGTCTAAGCTACCTTGGACCAAACGATGATCACGTAGAGCATATCAAGGGTGTTGAGGTTCACCTAGTGTATCGATTTAGAAATGCATTTGACATCAATCAAGGATGTGCTTATACCAGAATACCCTTGTTGGTTCGGTTACAACTTGTTGCATTTAAAAACCACAGTTTAAAATGAGATTTAGTTGCCTGTATCCAATAATGTACTGTTTAAGAAAATCAATATTTAGGTCTCCAAACAATACTGTACCATCGCTGCATGTACATAAATCTGCAAGGGTTGATTCGATCTCCTCTAGATAGCAACGACGGCCTTGTTGGTCTGTAAACAACAAATTTTTATCCTACCAGACGTGACAGTTATTTCCAACTGTTAAGTTTCTCTAAATATTTGATTAATTCTTTGATGGTAGATAATCTGGTCGTTAGAAGCTCCACCTTGCGTATTGCTTATTAAGGATATGATATTAACATCAATATCTAAAGATGCGGTACTGTTCGTTTCAGGTACATCCAGTAGTAGAATATTTTTCTGTCTACTAATCCCATCTTTAATATCTTTCATTGAGGTCACGGACTGCATGACTTGAGTTTTTAGTTTCAGAATATCTTGCGACACCTCAGCGACATCTCTTTTAACACCATTATTTGAATCTGTGATGGATACAAGCTTTGATGCAATATCTTTCAGCACCGTTTCATGTTTATCAATATGTTTTTCTTGAACTTTGATGCTCACTTTTATGCTTTGTAGATCTGTGGTAAATTGTTCCTCTGCTGCTCGCACTCCAGCAAATTCTGTTGTCAAAGCAATTTGGTTCTGTGCCACTTTACCGATTTCAGCCATAATCCTATCAAAGTGTTCAGTTGTTAGATGATTTGACCTGCTAGGGGTCATTTTCATGATCTTTTCCTGATTTCCCGATGATGGACAGTCGGTGGAAGACTGATAACGACTTCTTTTGAAAGTTGTAAAGCAGTTTCACAATTCCATTTTGATGCTGACTCATTATAAGTAGGTATTTCAGCAGCTCCTAAGCCCATGCAGGTGCCATGGTACTTTTTGATGCAAGTCGAAAAAATTATCTTTGGTTGCTGTGCGTTGATTTTCAGAGTACACAACTGGCAGATATCTGACATGTAAAAATTAGATTGGTTGTAATTTTATAAATCTGGCAACGCGTTGGCCGATTCAAAACAATTTCTTGTGCACAGATCGATACTCGCAAAAAAGCAGTGGCGGATTTAGTGTATGATAGAATGTACTACCAAAATTAAAACGTGTACGAGAAAAGAGCAACAGGTGGTATCTGCGGCAGAGGGTGTTTTTCATCAGTGGAACAAAAAACCAGGAGGTTATTGAAATGCTGGAGCACCGTTTAAATAAGAGCATTGATGTAAGAAGGGATTGAGTAGAAAAGTATAACATATAAATTCAATGTATCTTGCTTTAGAAGGGGGTCAGAGGTAGAGCATAGGGATTAATCCTCGTATTTGTAACGTTACTGAAGAAAAAAGTCACATTGTTATATATTGTTACCTTTATCATTTTGCAAGTCAGGCGTACTCACACGGTAGATGGTACCTAATAGCAGAAGGGTTGGAGCCGCAGGGGCATCACGTAACTTGAAAAGTGACATTATGCCGATTTTTTTGACATTATGCTGTTTTTTTTTGACATTACGTAGGTTATTCTACAAGATGTTAACTTAGCACTTAGTTGTACGTGTTGCCTAAACGTCATGAGGCTTGTTATCCATCTTTGGTTCTGATGTGATGTAAAATCTGCTTCTGAGATGGCATTACTGGAGGTCTAAGCTGTAAGTTGTATGTCTTGATGATAATTACATTGGGGTCTTGTCTCAAATTGAGATTCAAAGCTAGAAATTAGTTGCGCATCCACTTTTTCTTATGCATTCTGGAAATTACATATACAAATTTGCTGAATTTAAAAAATGAGAGAGATAAGAAATAATTATATTCTCTGTACACTGTCGAATTACAAGCCACATACATGCTAACAGTAATTACTCACAACGCGGGCGCGGTGATGATTTCCCGTAATTCTCCTCAGTTTTTCGTAATTTATAACTTTCAACATAACTTCTCTTCAGAAAGCACAACATATAAATAACCCGCCATTTTAGGCATATTCGGTAAAGATTTTCTAACACAGCAAATATCACTGATTTTATACACATGCAGACGATGCGATCTTGCTATTCAACCAAATTTCTTCGCAGAGATAAAAGCTACAGACACGGATCACTCAGCCTCACAAAACTATGCAACCAATAATGCGTAGTTTAGTTGAGTGATTCCTCCATAGATGGACGTTCACAACGATCCTAGTGAGCAAACGTGGAATGACTGTTTGCGCCCTAAAAAATACCTAGTCTGCAAGTTGACATCTTGGGGGAGGTTTTTTTTGACGTTTTGTAGGTTTTTTACATGATACCCGTGCTGGTAACCCCAGTTAACCGCCTCTTCCTATTAACGAACTTATATGCACTGCATTTAAACCATGACTTTAGTGTTATAAGATGGGTATATAGTCATTTTATTTATATTTTGCTAAGGTGGAAAGGAATCTGCCTACGATAGAAAACGTTTCCATGTTATCAAGAAAACCAAAGTGATGTTGCCTTTATATTAGTATATTTTAATAGCTGGCTCGATATATAATACCTTACCCGATCAGCATATCTGAGAGTATTCAAAGAATGATCTACGGAATAGTTCCCTGGAGAGACGAGAGCGATCATGCAGGTCCTGGACTTCTCGCCTATGAATGAGTCTCGCAGCACTTGCGTCAGTTTACTTCCCCTAAACGGAAGATGCGCTCCTTTCCTTCCGAGCGCCCGTATGCACTCTTTCAGTGCCAGCAAACTTTTGTTGATGTCGGCTCCTAAAATATTCCCACCAAAATCATTAAACATAAAAAACGATTTTTTCAGTTTCTATAGAGGATGGCGCGATATTTGTACCTACTATTTTACTACCCGCCTATTATAAGGTTGAAACTATGTCTAGTCGCTCCTTTCCAACATTTGCTAAAAGAACTCAACCCCTGCTTCTATTCCATAGTATGGTATGGTATCGTATAGTATCGTACGGTATGGTATTGTACGGTATTTTGCGATATGGTACGGGGTATAGTACGGGTTATGGTACGGGGTATGGTACGGGGTATGGTACGGGGCATGGTACGGGGTGTGTTACGGGGTATGGTCCGGGGTATGGTACGGAGTATGGTACGGAGTATGGTACGGAGTATGGTATGGTACGGGGTATGGTACGGGGTAATGTACGGTACGGTACGATTCGATACGATACGGTTCAATACGATACTGTACGGTACGGTATAACGCGGTATAGTACGGTATCGTATGGTACGGTAAGGTATATTTTTATATTTGGGGCAGTTGTTATAGTCGAGTCGTAAACAGTAACAGTCGCTGGCACTACCGTCGCTATAGTGTGAAACCGAAAAGGAGCGAGCATCAGCACATCGCACGCTACTCGTAACACACTTTGATCTGGCAAAACCGGTGCGCACGGATCTTGTCATATTCATGAAAGATGTCGTCTGTATGTATCATTGGGACTCTTCAGCTAACGTTTCGGTTTTATCTCCAAGAAAAAAAAATGATAGAAAAATGTACTTCGCCGCCGTTTATTTTTGTGTTCTTTGAAGTAATTCAGTTTAAGAAGCAGTGTTAAAGTTTTGACAGGTGAACTACAGTTGATACAGGAAGTGTAACGTGCGAGTTAAACTTACGAATGATCATCAGTCTCAAGAAATAAGCATACAGACGTTGATTTCAAAAATCCTTCGTTGCTCATATATTTATGTATTGGGAGTTTTTTTGATAAATCAAAAATACCTAATATGGTAATTAACTGATCTGGCAGATATTTTATTTAATGTACGTACTATTTTTTTTCAGGCTGTTACGGAGCATAAAAGTCTATTTGTATTTCGCCGTCTTACTATACTCGGATACCAAAATTGCAAAGAAAAGCAAAATGCTCTGTACACAACTGTTAACGAGTCATATTTTTGAATACGGTGAGGTCTGTGTACAGGTATACAACGATATACCGTCGTAGCAGGTGCGCGCGATGCATCTTCCATTTTGGTGCTTAGGCATAGTAAGTATACAATCAGCTGCTCCGTCCACAACCTCAGAACGAGGCTATCAGTTGCTCGGCAGTCGGAAACGCAAAGGCAATGAGACCGAAAGTCGAAGTAGGGTTGATTTGGAAATAACAGTGCCTTATTGAACGTGAATGTATGCTCGTTGACAATCAACTGCCGATAACACGCTTTTCATCAATTTTTGTCAAAACAGTGGTAATGTTGATCCTACCACAGAAACTGTTTAATAATACCTTCAATCCTTGTTTGCCTATTGGATTTATTATTGTCAGCCCCTCGTTCGTTCCCAGCGAGGTCTATGAGAGAGAACTTTCCTTCAATTTGCCTGGAACCTGACCGTCTTAGTATTATCTGGAAGACTGCGTGAGATCGTGAGGAATTTGAGTTTGCTGACGTTTGTCCGGACGTTCTTTCCAAACTTCCTTTTTGGATCAAGTCGAAAACGTGTTCTACCTGTAAGTTACATAGGTATAGGTTTTTTACGGTTTTCAGCGGGTCAAATTAAACCTACAGGAATTATTTTCATACATCAATGTCCCTCACAAATACACATGCAACTGGCCTAAATGTATGAGTTGTCCACATTTATATTCAGTATGATTTGCTTGTCATGGAAGTGTGATTTGGGTTAAACCTGTCCCACATGATGTGGCGAATGCCTTACAATTTTGGACACATTGCCATTCGCCACATCGTGTGAGAAAGCGCTGACGGATTGCATGTGTCCAACGTTCGCCACATGGCACGTTCGGGCTCTTGTCGGTAAATTCGACTCGCGTCAAAGGACGTTACAACATTACAGAAGAGTAATTCGAGTGACCTACATGCTGAGACCGATGAGGACACACAGGGTGATCTTTCCACACCTGTGCGTCGTCGCTACCGACGAAATCCCCAAATAACAAACATTTAGGCAACTTAAAACCGTCTGTGTCTGTACCCTCTACCGCTTCTACTAGTCAGTCAAGACCTTTATCAGCATCTACACAGAGTGCTCCTCCTGTTATACCCCAAGTGCAGTCTGATCCATTGACTGGCTGCAACTCATCTTCCCTGCCATCCAGCGGATCTCTAAAAACACAGGCCCAATCGCCTCGCCAGGGGCGTATTACTCCGATGGTGCTGAGAGATGCCACAAAATGGCGCACCTTAAACTATTCCTTTCTAAGTCATGGAATTCGTATTGAACGAGCAGTCGCCGTTGACGCTGGGATACGTATCATCCCCAAAACCGAAGACGATTATCACAGGATAATCCGTCTTTTCAAAGAGGAAAACATTCCTCATCACACTTTCCCTTTGCCCACTGAACGCAACATCCATGAGGTTATCAGAGGGATCCCAGCGTCAACCACCGAACAGGAGGTCAAATATGAGCTAGAACAGCGAGAACAGGAGAAAGCTAAAAGTCATCGCACAAAGGCGAGCGAAGTCATACGCTGACGCAGCAAGAGATGACACATCAACTACCCCTGCTGTTTCGAGCTCATCTACGACTACTCAAAATGTGGACCTAGCATCAGCGCTCAGGTCCCTACAGCAGATTATTAGTCCCCTGATAAGCGACACTCAGGTATTGCAGGCGATCTTTCCGCTAAATGGCTAGGTACAATAGCGAACAGCATGCATTCATCAAAATTCTTTTCTGGAATCGTTTGGGTCTTAGGGATGTCCCCAAAAAACGGGAATTTCGTCGAGCTCTTTGGGATGAAAGCGTAGATGTGGCCCTGCTGCAGGAAACATTGCTTAATCCGGAAGATCGTCTAGCTTTCCCGAATTATGATGTTATCCGCGCTGATAGATTAACTGGCGGTTTGGCAGTGCTAGTAAAACGTAGTATTGACTATTACAGAAGCACAAACACTGAGATGCAGAGCATCGAGGCAGCTTCCGTGGTAGTGAATATGACGGGAGGTATCTCGTTGAAAATCACATCGGTTTATGTCAGATGTGGTGCCAGGCTGCAAGAGATGGATCTGGAAGTCCTATTTGACTGCTCGGGTCCGCTTATTGTAGCAGGGGACTTCAACTCTAAACATCGAGCATGGCACTCTAGGTTAAATTCCACCAGTGGGATTCGACTGTACAACCATGTGATACGAAACGGCTACCTCATACACAGCACTGAGGAGCCGACTCACCACCCATTTAATCACCTTCAGGCACCAGATGTCATTGACTTCGCGATTTCTAGAAACTGTAGATACAGTGTCACTTCTCGAATCATGTATGACATTTCGAGCGATCGTCTTCCTATCGTACTGGGAGTGGGTAGTGAGCAAAGGGGAAACTCTTCCAAGGAAAAGGGTTGATTGGGAGCTATACAAGTCGCTCGTTAGAGAGTTCCCCAATATCCCGATCATAGATGATGAGAACGATATAGATGCTGCTCAAGCGTAGTGGACCAGTTCCGTTCAGCAAGGTCTGCAGAATGCAGCCGTACTACCAGTACAATGACACGGCAGACCTTTTCTCGCTGCAGACATTCGTCAGAAAATTTCTGACTACAGACCTGCAATTAAGCAAGCGAAGAGGTCCTGTCACCCAGATAACATTCACAGAGCAACGAATCTTGTTATGAAGTGAGAAATTCTCTTCGTGAATTCCGTAATGAGCAATGGAGCGACTTTCTGTCGGGGATGCTTGACTCAAGTATTCCTCTCTGGAAAGCTGCAAAGTCGCTCAGAAACTGAAAGCGAAAACAACTCCCACATATCCACGGTCTTAGGGGCATAGTCTGTAGGCCAGAGGAAAAGGTCGAGGTTTTCGCTGATGCTATGGAAAGTCAGATCTCTCCCAACTATGACCTTGATAATGACCTCGACGAGGAGCAACATATTGTAAAATCCGTCAGGAGATATTTTAGGGCCAACGGCGTCAGTGGCAGTAGTGCCTCCCTTAGTGATTTTTCCTCAGAGGAATCTTCAGAAGATTCCTCGACTGAAGAGCTGCATGGCACATCAGTGGAATCTCCTGAGACTCCGCATTGCACACCAGTAGAGCTCCAAGGAGAGGATCGAATCACTAATAAGGCGCTGAAGCTAGTTTCGCAGAAGTCCTTAACTTATCTCGTGACAATAATCAATGCCATGCTAAGCTCCCAGCACTTCCCAACGGCGTGGAAGACCGCTGATGTCATAATGATTCCAAAGAAGGTGGCTTCGATATTCCCCCAGGGTTACCGCCCCATTAGTCTACTTCTAAGCTCGCTGAAAAGGTGATTCTACATCACCTTGAACATTTCTCGACAGTCAAGAATGTGATTCCTAACGTGCAATTTGGCTTTCGGTCTGAGCATAGTACGGAGCTACAGGCCATAAGGCTTGTTGAACGAGTAACCAGGGCGTTCACCCGTAACGAAAGTACTGGCATCTTGCTTCTGGATGTCTCAAAGGCATTTGACAAGATGTGGCACAAGGGCCTTCTGTACAAATTGATCCATAAGGGCTTCCCCTTCTGGCTCCGAACACTTTTGAAATCCTTCCTCGAGGGTAGAAAATTTCGGATCAAAATTAATAACGTTCTGTCGACAATACGGCACATCAAAGCCAGTGTCCCTCAGGGTTCGGTTCTTGGACCAGTCCTTTATTCACTTTTTATTCCTGACGTCCCTTGCCCCAGCAACTGTGTAATCCATCTCTATGCTGATGACACTGCCCTGGTGGCCGAGTCGTGCTCTGGTATCTAGTTCATGACACGCTGCAAAGTGCGATGGAGGAGGTATTGGAATGGGCGAATCGGTGGCTGATCAAAATTAATCATTCGAAAACGCAGGCAATCTATTGTACTGAAAAACGTAGCGGCGCCCCTTCTGAGGTTTCAGTGAATGGAGCTTGGGTACCATGGGAAAGCTCTGCTAAGTATCTCGGAGTCGCTCTGACAAGGGAATGACCTGGCAGAATCACACTGAAGCGGTAAAAACTAAATTGCAAATCTCGTTTCGGCAACTCTACCCTATGCTATGTAGAACATCAAAATTAAGTTTGATCAACAAAGTTCGGGTATACAAGATATAGTAGTTATTAGACCAGCGATCACTTACGCAAGTGCGGCTTGGTGATTTCTCGCCAAAATGGATTTGCGTAGCGTGCATGTTTTGCAGAACAGAACCTTGCGTACAATCACTAACGCCCCATGGTATGTTTCCAACGAGACCCTTCACAGAGACCTTGACATCCCTTACCTAAGGGACTACATCAAACAACAAGCGCAGCTACGTTATAGTCAAGCGGAATCGCATAACAACCCTAAAAAATTAAATCGTGCGACTTTAGGTCCAACCAAAATTATAATTTTTCTTCAACAACCTATCCCAAAATAAACTTTCTGATCAATTTAAAATTGCCGAATACTAATTAGCAATGCCAAGGCACCCTTCAAATTGACGCACTTCTTTTTTCTTTGCTCTCCCTCCTTCCTTCCTTCCTTCCTTTCTTCTTCCCTTGTTTCTCCCTGACTTTGTTTGGTATCTGGACAACCAGACCTGACAGACCTACTGACTTACAAGACTTCAACCAAGAGCAAAGATCCTACGGACCGCTGTGACAGACAACGACGAATAGAACGACGTTACAATGTTGGAAGCATGGTCCGCTACGCTTTTAGGTTAGAACTAGTAGCGGCGAAAAACATTATTTACTTCGTTACTTGTTTGCTGTTATTGTGGTGAAGTAGTGGTATCTGGGAAGTATTTTGATTTGAATACCTACCTATTCATAATAATGTATGTTCAGTAAATAACTTTTCAGGAGAATGAATTAAATTAGTATACACACAAAGCAAAGGCTACCATAACAACACTTTTTTCATATTTATAATATTTTGTACGTTTTGCAGGTGAGTTATGGCTGGCCTAAGGATATGTATTATAGTAAATTATAAATTATCAAGTGCTTACAGTTGTTTCATCATTATGTCCTGTTGCAATGCAAGACTAGTTGAGAAATATGTTGACTTGATTAAATAAGTGATAACTCTGAAAGTACTATCAGGATTTTGTTGAAATTTTGACCCTAGGATACTATTATGAAAATAATGAAAAAGTTTTGCAGTTTTGGAAAATCGGTACAGTGGCGGCGGTGTTGTCGAAAAACAAACAAAAAACGGTCAATCTTCGTTTTTCGACATTTCTGAGGCTTCTGACAGACTTAAGTTTTGGTCGCTGAATACAGATCTGAAATTATTTTTCGGCGCTCGACAAAAATGTTTTATCGTTCATTTTGTATAATTTTTCCTTCAGCTGTAAAGGTTCAAGCGCGACACTGACACCGATAATAGACGTTGGCGCCACGATGCGTCGAACGTCCGAGACCAGACCCGTAGTCAGGATTTGTTTTCGGGGGGGCTCGCAGAGTCTACTTACAAATTACACAAGGCTCATAGGAGGAGTTAAGCATGAATTAGTGTAAGGAAAGGAGTCAACATAGGCTTATGATTTTATAAATCAATGTATA